ATAAATTTAACAAAATCGGAATTATATCAAGCACTCTCTCAGATCACAGTGGAATAAAACTGGAAATCAACTCCAAAAGGAACCTCCAAAACCATGGAAATACATGAAAATTAAATAACCTGCTCCTGAATGAGCATTGAGTCAAAAATGAAATCAAGATGGAAATTTAAAAATTCTTCAAACTGAATGACAATCAAAACCTCTGGGATACAGCAAAGGTGGTGCTAAGAGTAAAGTTTATAGCCCTAAACACCTACATCAAAAAGACCGAAAGAGCACAAACTGATACTCTAAGGTCACACCTGAAGGAACTAGAGAAATAAGAACAAATCCAACCCATACCCAACAGAAGAAAGGAAATAACCAAGATCAGAGCAGAACTAAATGAAATTGAAACAAAAAAATACAAAAGATAAATGAAACAAAAGCTGGTTCTTTGAAAAGGTAAATAAAATTTATAGACCATTGGCAAAATTAACCAAAAGGAGAGAAAACCCAAACAACGTCACTAAAAAATGAAACAGGAAATATTACAACTGACACCAGTGAAATACAAAAGGTCATTCAAGGCTACTACGAATACCTTTATGCACATAAACTAGAAAACACAGAAGAGATGGATAAATTCCTGGAAAAACACAATCCTCCTAGTGTAAATCAGGAAGAATTAGATACCCTGCACAGATCAATAACAAGCAGCAAGACTGAAATGGTAATTTAAAAATTACCAACAAAAAAAAAGTCCAGGATCAGACGAATTCACAGTAGAATTCCACCAGACAGTCAAAGAATTGGTACCAATCCTTTTGACACTATTCCACAAGATAGAGAAAGAAGGAACCCTCCCTAATTCATTCTGTGCAGCCAGCATCACCCTAATACCAACACCAGTAAAGGACATAACCAAAAAAGAAAACTACAGGCTGATATCCTTGATGAACATAGATGCTAAAATCCTTAACAAAATACTTGCCAATTGAATCCAACAACATATCAAAAAGATAATCCACCATGATCAAGTAGGTTTCATACTGGGGATGCAGGGATGGTTTAACATATGCAAGTCAATAAATGTGATACACCACATAAACAGAATTAAAAACAAAAATCACATGATCATTTCAATAGATGCAGAAAAAGCATTCAACAAAATCCAGCATCTCCTTATGATTAAAACTCTCCACAAAATCAGCATACAAGGGACATACCTTAATGTAATAAAAGCCACCTATGACAAACCCACAGCCAACATAATACTAAATGCGGAAATGTTGAAGCATTCCCTCTGAGAACTGAAACAAGACAAGGAAGCCTACTCTCACCACTCCTCTTCAGCATAGTACTAGAAGTCCTAGCCAGAGCAATCAGACAAGAGAAAGAAATAAAGGGCATCCAAATTGGTGAACAGGAAGTCAAACTGTCACCGTTTGCTGACAATGTGACTGTTTACCTTGAAATCCCTAAGGACTACCCCAGAAAGCTCCTAGAACCGATAAAAGAATTCAGCAAAGCTTCTGGATACAAGATTAATGTACACAAATCAGTAGCTTTTCTATACAACTACAGTGACCAAGCAGAGAATCAAATCAAGAACTCAACCCATTTTACAATAACTGCAAGAAAAAAAAACAAAAAAACCAAACTTAGGAATATACCGAACCAGGGAGTCAAAATACCTCTATAAGGAAAACTACAAAACATTGCTGAAGGAAATCATAGACAACATGAACAAATGAAAATACATCCCATGCTTCATGGATGGGTAGAATCAATATTGTGAAAATGATCATACTGCCAAAAGCAATCACAAATTCATGCAATCCCCATCAAAATACTACCATTCTCTTCCCAGAATTAGAAAAAACAATTCTAAAATTCACATGGAACCAAAAAAGAGCACGCAAAGCCAAAGCAAGATTAAGCAAAAAGAACAAATCTAGAGGCATCACACAACATGATTTCAAACTATACTATAAGGTCATAGTCACCAAAACAGTGTGGTACTGGTACAAAAATAGATACATAGGCCAACGGAACAGAATAGAGAACCCAGAAATAAACCCAAATACTTACAGTCAACTGATCTTTGACAAAGCAAACAAACTATAAAGTGAGGAAAGGACACCCTATTCAACAAATGGTGCTGGGATAATTGGCAAGCCACATGTAGGAGAATGAAACTGGATCCTCATCTCTCACCTTATACAAAAATCAACTCAAGATGGATCAAGGACTTAAATCTAAGGCCTGAAACTATAAAAATTCTAGAAGATAACATCAGAAAAACCCTTCTAACCATTGGCTTAGGCAATGCTTTCATGACCAAGAACCCAATAGCAAATGCAAGAAAAACAAAGATAAATATCTGGGACTTAATTAAACCTAAGCGCTTTTGCATGGCAAAAGGAACAGTCAGCGGAGTAAACGGACAACCCACACAGTGGGAGAAAATCTTCACAATCTATACATCTGACAAAAGACTAATACCCAGAATCTACAATGAACTTAAACAAATCAGTAAGAAAAAAAAACAAACAATCCCATCAAAAAGTGGGCTAAGGGCATGAATGGACAGCTCTCAAAAGAAGATATATAAATGGCCAACGAACGTATGAAAAAATTGCTCAGCATCACCAACGACCAGGGAAATTCAAACCAAAACCACAATGTGATACCACCTCACTCCTGTAAGAATGGCCATAATCAAAAAATCAAAAAACAATAGATGCTGGCATGGATGCAGTGAACAGGGAACACTTCTACACTGCTGGTGGGAACGTAAACTAGTACAGCTGCTGTGGAAAACAGTGTGGAGATTCCTTAAAGAACTAAAAATAGAACTACCATTTGATCTAGCAAGGCCACTACTGGGTATCTACCCAGAGGAAAAGAAGTCATTATTCGAAAAAGATACTTGCACACACATGTTTATAGCAGCACAATTCACAATTGCAAAATTGTGGAGCCAACCCAAATGCCCACCAATTAATGAGAGGATAAAGAAACTGTGGTATATATGTGTGTGATAATTGAAAGTCCCTACACTTCTATGAAAACTCATTATTGTTTGGCCATATGGTCAATAACAACCAGAATCATCCCAATTAATCAACAACAGCTTCTGGCCAGTACACAGGCCTCTGAAAGCCAGCCAACTATTCACTTCCCCATGCTTCTGAAAGTCAGCCAGTTAGTAACAGCCACACTCCAGTGACCTGCTTTCACTAAAAGTCAGCTAACCACTAACAAATCTCACTTCTGAAGGCCACCAGTCACCAAGATCCACACTTCCACAAACGTTCTCTGGTCAGAGAAACTGACCCACAAGTGCAACTGTCCCTTAATTGAACAATAAATTCAGCCTTTTGTTTGAGATTAAGTGGTAGCCCCTTGTTTTTTTTTTTTTCTTCTGAAATGGAGTCTTGTCTGTCACCAGACTGGAGTGCAGCGGTGTGATCTCAGCTGACTGCAACCTCCACATCCCGGGTTCAAGCAATTCTCTTGTTTCAGTCTCCCGAGAAGCTGGGACTACAGGTGTGCTCGACCACACCCAGCTAATTTTTGTATTTTTAGTAGAGATGGGGTTTTGCCATGTTGGCCAGGCTGGCCTTGAACTCCTGACCTCAAGTGATCCACCTGCCTTGGCCTCCCAAAGTGCTGGGATTACAGGGTGACCCACCGCACCCAGCCTAGGTGGTAGCCCCTTCTACTAGTGATATCTTTTTATTATTACTCTGTGAAGGCATCTGTGGTTCTTTCTGGCTTTCTGGACTTTCTCTTCTTAACATCTCCTCTCCCTTACTGTTTTTTCCTCCTTCAGTGATGTGCTACATATGCTTTTCATATTGCCTCCCTGTTTCACTTTTCTGGCCCTATTTTTCTGGATATCTCCTATCTCGTATTGTAGATTACATTCAAGTATTTTCCAACTCTTGATAATGTTTCCTCATCTCTCCCTAATCTTTCTTTATTTGTTAAATAAGAGTATCTTTCCATTGAACCCTGGGAGAGTCTCTTGGATTCCTAAAAACCCTTTGGGCATCCACACTGGACTCAGACTATGGGACCCCACCCCAACCCATGCCCACTCATAGAACTGAAAGCCTGTAAGGAGTCATCCAGGACACTGGTCTCTGCTCTTTCTTTTTTCTTGAGTCTCATCAAACACCCGTGTCACATGCACTTCTGTGTTTCTGGCTCCTCAACACAGCAATAACAGCACCTTCCCTATCTAAGTCTTGAGGATTTTGTGGGTAAAATTATAACACTTATCAGAGTACTCTGAAAAAACACTGCATGATCCAATGACAAAATGGGGAGTACTGGTCAAAAACAGCATTTAGTCTCATAAATAGTTGATGTAAATTCTGCCAGTTAGATGGTAGAATACCATTACACTGAAGGCTTTGTCAAGTTTATGAAAAAGTGATTAACAGTATCTACCAGCAGAGGAATGACACTCTTTTTTATTTCCATAGAGGGAGTGAGAATAGAAATTTTATATGAATTCAAATAATAGTATTGATAGCTATGAAAAATAAAGACAAAAGAGCATTGCTTCTTCCTACTGTATTTCTGACCTTTATTTCTTCACCTATAAAATAGGATTATGCAGTTTGCCTGCCCCCATCTTAAGGTTTTGTGAGGGTATCAGGAGATCTTATTTGGTAAAATATTTTAATACTGTAGTATTGAAAGGTATGAGAATATGAAGGAGGGAACATATTGCCTTGTCTTGGCGTATTTCAACTACCACTAGACTGTCTGAATACATATGTTCAAACAATAAATCCCATTCTGTTAAACATGGACTTTCGTGTAAAGATTCCTCCCTGGATTTCCCAAAAGATCCATGTACAGAAAATGTGAAAAATCTCAGGATATAATTGGATCCTTTCACTGTGAGGTATACGCAGAGGAAAGTCAACAGGAAACACAAGCTCCAAATTCAACCTCCTGACACTCTGCAGCCCAGGGCCAGAAATCCTCCCCTTCCTTACCTGACCCACATCTTGCTAGGGAGCTGGAGGCTTCCTGGGGCTCTTCTCCATCACACATTTGCGAACAGTCATCACTGCCCTCTGCAGAAAGAAAAGAAATCCCTCAAGAAATTATGAAGAGAGGCCAGGCGTGGTGGCTCAAGCCTGTAATCGCAGCACTTTGGGAGGCCGAGACAGGTGGATCACGAGGTCAGGAGATCGAGACCATCCTGACTAACAAGGTGAAACCCCGTCTCTACTAAAAAATACAAAAAACTAGCCAGGAGAGGTGGCGGGCGCCTGTAGTCCCAGCTACTCGGGAGGCTGAGGCAGGAGAATGGCATAAACCCGGGAGGCGGAGCTTGCAGTGAGCTGAGACCCAGCCACTGCACTCCAGCCTGGGCGACAGAGCAAGACTCCATCTCAAAAAAAAAAAAAAAAGAAATTATGAAGGGAAAACTTAGTGAAGATGTGGGAAGCTGAAGTATCTCCTAGGTGGGGCTGTCCGCCACCCAGGCCCTCCTGGCCTGTAGGTGGATACACTCCAGTTGCTGTCACCAAGGCTGGGAACCATCCATCAGCTCACTTCCTGCCTGGACTCCGAATTCTCTCTCCTTCTCCCCCTCCCCCTTTCCTCTGCACATTTCCTCTTTCTCCGCCCTGCTTTCCTGCTGCCAGTGGCTCCGGGTGCTTCTCTTTGTTTCCATGTGTTTCTGCCCCCCTTCTCTGCTCCTGTCTTTTTCTCTTGCACCCCTGACTCTGCTCTTTACTGGCTTTCCCTATCTTGTTTATTTCCTTGTCACCCCCTTTTTAAAACTAGGTATAAAGAAAGGCATTCCTGGGACAGTGAAAATGAACCAGATAAGGAAGGGGATCAGGAACAGAGTGGGCCAAGGCAACACCACATACTACAGGGGAAGTGTGGCTCCAGGACCCACATATAAAAGATCAGATCATAAAAGAGCAGCTCCTGAAACAACTGATGCCATTAGTGGAGACAAGACAGACGATATGGGCTGGGGCCCCATGAAGGGTGGAAGCCACAGAAATCCACAGGAAGGATAACTCATCTAATCCTGTGCAACAAAGATCACTAGGGGAAAAGATCTAAGGGGAAAAGAAAATGATCTGATTGATATCTTGCGAATAACAATTGTGTTAAAGCAGAAAAAAATGAGTCTGATGAGTACAAGATCAAACAGGATATTCCTCCCTTTACTGAGAAAGCAAACCCTGGAGAAAGAGGAGTTTCTAAGTTCAGAGGAGGTGTTGGTTTCCACTGTGAAGTGTTCAGTTCCTGAAAGACATTGCAAAAAGGAAGGTCCCAAGATAAATGTCTTCAGGCACACGGATGGAGGAGCTTGGAAGGGAGGCCTGCCTGGCAGACAGTTATTAAATACTTGACAATCATTCCACTACCTGGGCAGATGAGTCTGCGGGGAGAGAATTCTTACCCTCTGAGTATGCTTCTGTGCCACTCTCTACCTAGAGGGACCTTAATCAGAAAACTCACTATTGACAGAGTTGCCGTTTGCTGGAAGCTGCTGCTGTCTAGTGACTCTGACTTCAGCTCTACAGGCCCTCAACCTGCTCCTTTCCTCCGACAATAGTTTGCACTCTTTATGGGTTCTCTAATTATTTTGATCTGTCTCTTTCTCTGCATAGTTTAATCTGTGCTTCCTTCCAACATTGTTGTCATTTGTATTTGCCTCCATTTGTACAATTTTCTCTAACTTTTCTCTCTTGGTTATCCGCTTTCTACTTTGTCTTTTACTTTCTCCTTTTCTGTCTGTTTCCTTGGGTTTTACCTTGCCCTCTTAGATGCCTGTAAAATGTCTATAATTTTATATATTTTCCTCACTCTCAAAGTTCTCTTCTCCCAGGTTGGAAAAGTTCTTCCATTTATGCAGGGGCTATAAAATCGCATATCCTTTGCTTGTCAGTTCCATCCCAAGGGTCTTCCACATGACTTTTCTCAACTGCAAGCATTCAATCATTCACAAAACTTATGTCTGTGTTCCTGATACTTCTGAGAGTAGGCTGAAAACAATCTCCCTGCCTCAATTACCATAACCTGCTGATATTTAGGTTTAATGTGTGTTTAATATCATCACCCAGGCGTTTATTCTCTGGTGCCCCCAGACTGACTCTGGTATATTCTGTCTCCCTGTATTCTCCATGCAACGATATGGTCTCCACCCAGGGACTCACCTCACCTTGATCCTTTGTCTCTCACAATTTACAAAAAAGCCCAACAGAAAATTGGCATAATTCCATCTGTATGCAGGCGAATGTGAAGAAGGGAAGGTAGGATGGGAGAACGGGAATTTTTTTTTCCATGCCAACTGGAAAACAAAGAAGTACTCAAATATCTAAAAATTTAAATCATAATTACCTTCTCCTTCATCTGGTAGTAGACAGAGCCCCTTCTCTGGTTCTCCTTCATTAGTGATTTGGGGAGTCTTTCGATCCAAGTTCTCTGCAGAGAAACAAGAAACTGACGGACCACAAAGGGTACATGGACACAGACCTCAGTGCGTTCACGACATCCAAGATGGGCAAACGCTGACAGCCACCCTCGTCTTGTTCTGCCTTTTCTTCATCTTGTTGCATCTCCTCTTTCTCCTTCTCTCTAATTCTCAGTGTCCTCCTCACAGTTCTGCCTCCACACAATTCCCTCCTAGCTGGGCAGCGCTTGGATTGTCTGGTCTTCTCTCCAACTGGCTTCTTCTGATTCCTGTTTCTATCTCTTTTTCCTTTTTTAGTGATATTGTATCTCTTTTCTGTTATTTCTTTAGCTCTTATTCTATATCCATCCTATGCCAAAGGGCAGACTCTATTTCCATGTTGTGTTTCCATGATTTCCCTTCCCTCCCACTAGCATTTTTTTTTTTCCCTTAAAGCCTTATATTGGTCCCTGGTCCACTCCTCCGGGAACCTGCAGAACTCCTTGGGCTTCTTTCTATTCTGACCCTGTGACCCTACCCTGAACCCCCAGCTGGCTTTGCACAACCATCACCCAGTGACACATCCAGGACACTGGTGCCCACTCTTCCTTTTCTACTTTGCCTTTGCGATAATATCTTGCTTGCATTTCTGTGCTTTATTTCCCAGTCTGTAAGACAGACATTTAGCTGTTTGCATACCGATGTTTAAGAGTTTGTGAGGGTAAAAGGAGCTCTTGTGCAATCCAGTCATCTGACTGAGACTGTCAGAAACCTTGTGCACCTGCTCTCCCACCCCATGTTGGCACTCTCATCTTCACCCTTGACACACGTCTCTGCTGCTTGTGCTTCTACCTCTGTCTCTTGGCACTGGAGTCTCTTGGTACTTTTCTTTGTCTTGGTTTCTTTTTCTGGGACTGCTCCTGCCTCCCTCATTTCCCTCCTGCATCCCTGGTCCTGTGCTTTATGTCCTTGCCCCACTTTATACGTATTGAGGCACATGAAGGTATACACTTATATCTTCATACACCTTCATAGAGCGCTACTCTATGAAGGCAACTGTCCTTCTCTGTGGCTGTCTGGACTTTCCCTTCCAAACGTCTCTCCCTGACTATCTGTCTCTCTCCTCCAGTGATGTGCTGTGTCTCCTTCGCACATTCTATCTCTGTTCATCTTTTCTGGCTCAATTTTTCTGGATATCTCTTATCTTGTATCATAGATTATGTTTACATACTTTCTAACTCTCAATAATTTCTCCACTCCTCTGCTTAAGCTTGCTTTATTTGTTAATAAAAGTCTCTTTACATTAAACCCTGGTAGAATCTCTTGGATTCCTAAAAGCCCTTTGGGTTTCCACATTGGACTCAGTCTATGGGACCCCACCCCAACTGGTGCCTGCCTCACAGAACTGGAAGCCTGTAAGGAGTCATCCAGGACACTCCAGGACAAAAGTCACTTCCAAGACAAAAGTCTCCGCATTTCCTTCCTTCTCGGGTCTTAACAAACGCCGGTGTCACATGTACTTCGGTGTTTCTGGCTCCTCAAAACAACAATAACAGCACTTTCCCTGCCTAAATCTTGAGGTTTCTGAGGGTAAAAACGTAACACTTAAGAGAGTCCTCTAAAGACATACCGCATGATCCAATGACATAATGAAGAGTATTGGTCAAAAATAGCATTTAGTCTCATAAAAAGTGCATCTGAATTCTGTCAATTAGAGGGTAGGATACCATTTCTTTGAAGGCTTTGTCAAGTTTGTGATGAAATGATAAAAAGTATCTACCAGCGGAGGAATGATAAACTTTTTCATTCCCAAAGAAAAAGTGAGAATAGAATTTTAAGTTCAAGTAATACTATTGATAGCGATGAAAAATAAAGGCAAAGAGCATTTTCTCCTCCTAGCATATTCTGAGCTGTATTTCCTCATCTGTAAAATAGGATTACCCAATTTGTCAGCCCCCATCTTAAGGTTTTGTGAGGGTATCAGATCTTATTCAGTAAAATATTTTAATGCTTTAGTATTAATAGGCATGAGAATATGAAGGAGAGAACACATTGCCTTACCTTGACATAATCCAACTACCCCATGATTATCTAAACACATACTTTCAAACAATAAAACCCATTCTGTTAAACACAGACTTCTATATCAAGATTCCTCCCTGCATTTCCCAAAAGATCCATGTATAGAAAATGTGAAAAATCTCAGATTTAATTGCATTCTTTCACTGTGAAGTATACTTGGAGGAAAGACAATCAGGAAACACAAACTCCAGATTCAACCTCCTGACACTCTGCAGCCCAGGGCCAGAAATCCTCCCCTTCCTTACCTGACCCACATCTTGCTAGGGAGCTAGAGGCTTCCTGGGGCTCTTCTCCATCACACATTTGCGAACAGTCACCACTGCCCTCTGCAGAAAGAAAAGAAATCCCTCAAGAAATTATGAAGAGAAAACTCAGTGAAGATGTGAGAAGCTGAAGTATCTCCTAGGTGGGGCTGTCCGCCACCCAGGCCCTCCTGGCCTGTAGGTGGACACACTCCAGTTGCTGTCACCAAGGCTGAGAACCATCCATCAGCTCACTTCCTGCCTGGACTCCGAATTCTCTCTCCTTCTCCCCCTCCCCCTTTCCTCTGCACATTTCCTCTTTCTCTGCCCTGCTTTCCTGCTGCCAGTGGCTCCAGGTGCTTCTCTTTGTTTCCATGTGTTTCTGTCCCCCTTCTCTGCTCCTTTCTTTTTCTCTTGCACCCCTGACTCTGCTCTTTACTGGCTTTCCCCATCTATTTCCTTGTCACCCCCTTTCTCGTACTGGGCATCAGAAAAGGCATCCCTGGGATGGTGGAAATGAACCAGATAAGGAAGGGGATCAGGAACAGAGTGGGCCAGGGCAACACCACATAGTACAGGGGAAGTGTGGCTCAAGGGCCCACACATAAAAGAAAGATCAGATCATTGCAGCTCCCGAAACAATTGATGCCATTAGTAGAGATGAGACATATGATACGGTCTGGGGCCCCATGAAGGGTGGAAGCCACAGAAATCCACAGGAAGGATAACTCATCTAATCCTGTGCAACAAACATTACCACGTCGAAGGGGAAAATAATGATCTGATCGATACCTTGCAAATAACAATTGTGCTAAAGCAGAGAAAAAGAGTCTGATGAGTACAACAGCACACAGGACATTCATCCCTTTACTGAGAGAGCAAACCCTGGAGAAAGGGGAGTTTCTGGGTTCAGAGGAGGTGTTGGTTTCCATTTTGGGTGTGTTTAGTTCCTGAAAGACATCGCAATGGGGAGGGTCCTGGGATAAATATTTTCAGGCACATGGATGGAAGAGCTTGGAAGTCAGGTCTGCAAAGCAGATGTGTACAGGAGAATCATTCCACTACCTGAGCAGATGAGACTGGGGAAAGCTCTGAGGATGCTTTCACGTCACTCTCAACCTAGGGGGACCTGAATCGGAAAACTCACTATTGACAGAGGCGCCCTTTGCTGGGAGCTGCTTGTACATAGTGACTGACTTCAGCTCCGCAGGCCCTCGACCTGCTCCTTTACTTGGACAACGGTTTTCACTCCTTACAGGTTCTTCAATTATTTTGATCTATCTCTTTCTCTGCATAATTTCTTTGGTGCTTCCTTCCCATATTGTTATTATTGTATTTGCTGCCATTTGCAGAATTTTCTCTAATTTTTCTCCATAAGGTTATCCACTTTCTATGTGTCTTCTACTTTCTCCTTTTCTGTTGCTTTGGGTTTTATCTTATGCTCCTAGATGCTGGTAAAATATCCCTTATTTTATGTACTTTCCTCATTCTCAAAGTTCTTTTCTCTCAGGTTGGAAAAGATCTTCTGATTACACAAGGGCTATAGCACCACAGGTCCTTCCCTTGTCAGTGCCATCCCAAGGGTCTCCCGCATGACTTTCTCAATTGCAAGACTTTGGTCTTTCACAAAACATGTCTGTGCTCCAGATCCTTCTGGAATTAGGCTGAAAACATTCTCCCCTGCTTCAGTTGCCATAATCTGCTGTTATGTAGGTTTAATGTGTGTTTAATAACATCACCCAGGCACTTCTCCTCTGGCGCCCCAGCCTCCCTCTGGTATATTCATTCTTCCTATGTGCCCCATGCAGAAATATGGTCCCCACTCAGGGGCTCAGCTCACCTTGATCCTTTGTCTCTCTCACAGTTTTCAAAAAGGCACAACAGAAAGTTGATATAATTCCATCTGTATGTATGCGAATGTGAAGAAGGGAAGGGTAGGATGGGAGAAAGGGAAACTTTTTTTCCATGCTAACTAGAAAAGGAAGATGTACTGAAAAATTTAAAAACTTAAATCAGAATTACCTTCTCCTTCATCTGGTAGACAGGGCCCCTTCTCTGGTTCTCCTTCATTAGTGATTTGCGGAGTTTTTAGATCAAAGGTCTCTGCAGAGAAACAATAAATTGACAGGCCACAGAGGGTGATGTGGACAGAGACCTCAGTGCGTTCACGACATCCAAGATGGGCAAACGCTGACAGCCACCCTCGTCTTATTCCGCCTTTTCTCCATCTTGTTGCATCTCCTCTTTCTCCTTCTCTCTAATTCTCAGTGTCCTCCTCACAGTTCTGCCTCCACACAATTCCCTCCTAGCTGGGCAGTGCTTGGATTGTCTGGTCTTCTCTCCAACTGGCTTCTCCTGCTTCCTGTTTCTAAGTCTTTTTTCTTTTTCAGTAATACTGTATCCCTTTTCTGTTATTTCTTTAGCTCTTATTCTATATCCATCCTATGCCAAAGGGCAGACTCTATTTCCATGCTGTGTTTCCATGGTTTCCCTTCCCTCCCACTAGCATTTTTTTTTCCCCTTAAAGCCTTATATTGGTCCCTGGTCCACTCCTCCGGGAACCTACAGAACTCCTTGGGCTTCTTTCTATTCTGACCCTGTGACCCTGCCCTGAACCCCCAGCTGGCTTTGCACAGCCATCACCCAGTGACACATCCAGGACACTGGTGCCCACTCTTCCTTTTCTACTTTGCCTTTGCGATAATATCCTGCTTGCATTTCTGTGCTTTATTTCCCAGTCTGTAAGACAGACATTTAGCTGTTTGCATACCGATGTTTAAGAGTTTGTGGGGGTAAAAGGAGCTCTTGTGCAATCCAGTCATCTGATAAAGACTGTCAGAAACCCTGTGCACCTGCTCTCCCACCCCCTGTTGGCACTCTCATTTTCACCCTTGACGCACGTCTCTGCTGCTTGTGTTTCTACCTCTGTCTCTTGCCGCTGGACTCTCTTGGTACTTTTCCTTGTCTTGGTTTCTTTTTCCGGGACTGTTTCTGCCTTCCTCGTCTCCCTCTTTCTTCCCTGGTGCTGTGCTGTATGTCCTTGCTGCATCTGTCATCCTGTTGCTTTCTAGAACTAGGGATCAAAAAAGGCATATCTGAGAGTATCTGTAATAACCATATGATTTCACTAGATTAGTGAGCGTGATGGAGATTGTAGTGAAACAAGATGACTTTTCCAAGCACAGGGCTAAGCCTTTAGGAAGGCTCAGATGAGAAAAAGTCATCAGAAAATGACAGTGACTAGAAAATCTGTATATAAACCTTGAAGTAATTGCAGGAGAGGCAGACATGAAGCTGGAGCCCTGGGGAAAAAATAGATTTAATCCTTATGGCCCCAAGTAGTTATTGATTTAAAGTAGAAATGTAAGATAAGCCAACTTCCATTTTTGAAAGAGTTGTTTGAGTTGGAAAGAATGGATGTGAGAAGTACAAGATCAGAGGAAAGATGTGAGTCTAGAGGCTGTTGCTCCAGTCCAAGAGAGAGATCTTACCAGAGTTTTTGTGTTGGGGTGGAAGGAAATGGACAGGTGAGGTATGTAGAACTCACTAAAAGTCTACTGGATGTTGATGGGGTGCTTAAGTTGAGGGAGGTGGGGAGAGTCATGAGTGGCTCCTAGGTTTCTGCTTGAAGAAGGGAGTAATAGTGTTTCATCCTGAGATAGGGAACACTGGGAGAGAAGTCAGATCTGTGTCAGGAAAGATGGTATGTACAATCTTGGAAGTGTCTTGTATTGAGGTTCTTGAAAAACATCCAAATGAAGAGGTCTTTCAAATATCTTCGTGAACGTATTCAGGTACTCAGATGAATGAACTTAGAAGATAAATCTGGACATCTGTGTTTTGAAATCATTAAGTTATAGATGGGAGAGACATGAAAGCCTCAGGGAGAGGCTGACTGCTTCTGAGGACATTACAGGTGCCATTTTGATAGCTTGGGAACACCCTCGTGAAAACTCACTGCTAACATGTCTCATTCTTGGGCCAGAAATTATTTCTGTCTAGTGAATCTTCTCTCCATCCCTACAATGTCCCACATTGTTCCCCATCTCTTGCAAGCAGTTTTCACTCTCTGCTAACTTTTCACTTATTCTCCTTTCTCTTTTTCTCTGTGTATAACTTTTATGCCTCTCCTCCACTGTCTCTGTCTTCGAGCATTTTTCTTCTCTCTGTTCCTCTCATAATATTTTCTCCACCTTTTAAGTCCTGTGCCTTATTTAATAATCAAGTTTACCTCCTTTCTTCCATGGTGCTCATTTCCATGCCTATATCTGTTCTCTCTAATTAGCTTTCTGTTCCTAATTTTTCAATTTCAATTTAATTTTAATTTAAATTTCAGTCTTTCTGTATATTCTGTCTTATTTTTCTCCCATACCATCAAAGGTCTCATCTTTTGCCATTAACAAAGGGGCAGGGACTCTTCCCTTTGTGAAGCTCATTTCAACAGTTTTTCACTGAGTTTTCTATATTGCAATATGCTCATTATATCCATGCTCTTGGCATAACCTTGAGAAAATAAGTTGAAAATTATCTCCCCTTCCTTATAACCCAATGTGGTATTATTACCCAAATATTACCCAACATGGTAATATTTGAATCCCATGACTATTTAGGTAAAACTGGCAGTCACTCAGATCTCTCTTTATTTAATGATTCAATCTATATTTTCCTTTCCCTCTCTCTTTCCCTATGTCCTATATGCAGGAAAGCCCCAACCAGTCTGAGATCATCCTTCTTTTGCTACTTGTCTCTCTCAAGGAAAGCAGGAAGAAGCTGGGCATAGACTGTCTGTGTCTGTATGTGGGGAGGGATGCATGGATGAATGGATGGCTGGCTGGCTGGATGGATGGATGAATATATGAATAGATGGATGGATATATGGATGAATACATGAATAGATGGGGGAAAGGGAAGGGAGATGAAAGAGTAGGTGTTTTTGTACGTTGACAGAATAACAAAGCTTTAATTTAAATCCTAATTACCTTCCGTATCATAAGGCAGTAATGTGGGCATTTCATCTGATTCTCCTTCATCTGTTTGTATAGCAAGTTCACAGGACACTGCGGAGCGAAAGAGGAACATGACAGACAATTGACAGTGACCTGGACACCTACCTGGATCCATGCTGAGCTCTAATGTTCAGGTGTAGAACTGCTCCCTGGGGATAAAGGTATCTTTGCACCAAACAAGAATGGCTCCACTTCTTCTAGCACCTTGTCGGGCCCCTTTCCCCTCTCTCCCTCTCTCTTCTTCTCTTTTTTCTCCCTCTAACCCTTTCTTTACACATTGCTGCGTCTGCACCATAAACCAACTCCAAGATCTCTTTGACCTGACTTCCTCTTCCTGACTTCTACCATTTCTTTGCATTTCTGTCTCTTTCCTCCTTCATGATGTTTGTTACCTCTTTGCCCCATTATATCCCTATTCATTCTTCTAACTTTGTCACTTCCACTTTGTCTCTTCTGTATACAGTATTTCATTATTCCCAAATAATCCTTGGCAAGTAAGTTTAAAATTCTCTCTCTTTTCTCAAACCCCATCCTGGTAGTATTTAGATTCCATATTCATGTAGATAAAATTGGGCCCACTTAGGCAATACCATTTGGTGCCTCTAATCAGAGTAATTTTTATTACTCTGTACACTTAAGCTCTCTGCCCAGGAGCCCCTCCACTAAAGGACTTAGCCGTCCTTTACCTCCTGCCTCCCACACACCTGGGGAAAACAACCACAGGCTGAACGAAAGTGTGTTACGGGGTGGTGGTGGAGAGAGAAGGAAGTGTTGCTTGCCTAGAGATAGGCCAACTAATTTAATGAGATAATTGGTCATTTAAATCATAATTACCTCCCCCACCTGGTAGTAGACTGGGTGCATCTTCTGCGTCTCCTCCATCAGCATTTGGGAGGGCTAATTGCTCACAAGACTCTGAAGAGAAACCTGGAAATAAATAACAAGGCACAGTGATGACAGCACAGACCTCAGGATGTTCCTGCTGAATCCTGGTGTTCAGCACTCAAGTGAGCTTCTCTTTGCAAAAAAAAGCACCATTGCTCCAAGGACCTCGCCTGAGCCCCACCACAGCCTTGCTCTGCCTGTTTTCCTTCTGGTCATCTCTCTGCCACCTCCTTTCTCCTTCTCATTTTTTGGTCGCCACATGCTCTTGCTTCTGCACCATGAAGCACTGACCATCTCCTTGACTCCCTGGGATTTCCTCTCTTTTTCTTTTCTGTTGATCTTCAATGCCCTCCATCACATTTTCCTACTTGTGTCTCCATTTTTCTTTCTGGTTCTCTTCTTCTGGATTTCTTGCATCCGCACGGCAGGTTCCAATCTTACCATTTCTCTTTGCTTTCCCCTGCTCTGGCCATGGAAATGCTTTTGTTGAATAAGAGTCTCTTTGCACCAGGCCCTAGCCCACTCCCCTAAGAACCTGCAGGTCTCCTTGGGTCTCCTGTGTGAACTCCGATCCATGACCCTGGCTACCCTGATTTCTGTCAAACTCATACAACCATCACTGCAGTGAGTCAGCTGGAATGTGGGTCATGTTCTTGCTTGACTAATTTGACCTGGTAAAAGACCTTACACCTTTCTATGCTTCTACTTCTACTTTATTTAGCTATAAAATAGAAATAAGCAAAAGTTTATCCATCTAAATTCATAAGCTGTGGTGACAAAATGACATCTTGTTTGCCAAAATTCTTTGAACAGTAACTATGTAAGATAGTAACACAATGGAAAATATTTGGCAAAAATTATCATTTAGTTTTTTGAGTAGTTGGTCTGATGGAACATGTTTCTTATGAAGGCTTTCTATAGTGAGGGACAAAATAATAATAGTAACAAACAACAATAGTTTTTATTCTCTAGAGAAAATAAATGGTGGGTAGGTATAATCAAGTTTTTATTGTTAGTAGACATGAAAGACATCATCCTTCTCTAGCATATTTCTACTATAACATACACTTAGGAACATTTAGCAGAATTATGGGATCTGAGGACAAAATGGATCTTTTGCCTGTGGAATGTGCTCAGAGTAAAATGCATCAGGAAACACCAGCTCTGAATTCCACCTCCTGACACCCTGAAGGTCAGGAAGAGCAAGTCACCCCTTCCTTACCTGGCTCACACCTTGGTGAGGAGCTCAAGGCTTCCTGAGGCACTGCTACATCACCCATTTCATGATCGGCATTGCTGTTCTCTGCAGAAAGGAATGAAATCCCTCAGATGTCTTGATTTACGGTCAAGAAGGCATCAAAACAAGAAAATAAATAATGAGAAAACTAAGAAAGCCTGATACACTGGAAGGTCCCCACTCCCCAAACAACCTGACCTGAGGATTAAGTCCTTCAGTAACCTTCACCAGAGGCCGAGAATAATTCATCCATTGCGGGGGAATCTTCCTTTCCTTACGCCTTCTTCTCTTTCACATTTTCTCACTCATGTCTTTCCATCTGTTTCTGTACATTTCCTCAATCTCTGCCTCTGTTTTTTTCTGCGGATGTTTCTTGGAGCCTCTCTTTCCTAGATGCATTTCTCTCTTCTCTGCTCCTGCAAATTTTTCTCTTGCTTTCTCTGATACCACTCTTTCTCTCCCATCCTTAGCCTCTCAGTTGTGCCTTTCTAGCTTTCTCTAAAGAAAGACCTCCCTTTGATCATATATTCTAAGTAGGATTTAGCTGGATTGGAGAAGGATAAATGGAGAATAGTGGGACAGGAAAACAATTCTAAATAAGGTAGCAAAGAGAAAACATAGGGAAAGGCTCAGTTTGAAAGAAAGATTTAACGATTGAAATTATTGGGGGAAATTTTATTCTACCTTGAAATAATACTTCGAGAGGCAGGTGATTAAGCTGGAGAAGTAAGCAGGTGGATCATTGTGGATGCCTTTGGATTTTACTTAAAAACCCATTTATTTAATCCTTAGTGTATTAAGGAGGTAAGTAGGAAAATGATACAACCTAAGGTGCATTTTAAAATATCCCATCTAGTTGAAGTGCAAATAACACATTTGATGGAAGCAAGATTAGAGGGAGGAGATGAGCAAAGGATGTTGCCCTGAGAATCATGAGAGTGATGGAGATCTGGACCAGAGACCTGGTCTTGGGGATGCAAAGATGGACAGGCCAGGGGCAACCTGAAGATGAAATGATTACATTGGCTGCATAACTGGCATGTATTTGAGGGCAAGGGAGGAGTCATCCATGATGACTTGACTAGGTTTCCAACTTGAAAAACCATGGTACAATAGTGATCCATCTCTGGGAGAAAGAGTGCTGTGGAGGAGTTAGATCTAACTTGAGCAATGAAGATGTTGCTTTTAGTTCTCAAAGTACCAAGTTTAAGGTTCTTGAAAAAATTCAAGTGTAAATGTCTGTCCGACCCATGAGTAAAGGTCCTCGGGTCCGTGAATAAATGTACTCTAAAGATAATTTAGAGCGAAGATTTGTGCTTGGGAATCATTAGACTATTCTGGGAGAGGCCTATTGAAATCTGAGTATGATGTAAGTGCCACTTTGATGTGAGAAGAGTTCAATCTGAAAACTTATGGTTCATGGAGCCAACCCTTGTAAAGTTGCTGATATCCAGTGCTCTTACCTCAAACCTACACTGTCCCAGTCTGCTTCTCTCTCCCTTTTATCCACTTTTCACTCTCAAGTGATTTTACACCCTTTTTTTCTTAACTGTTTATCTACATAGTTGCCTCTGTACCTCTTCATTTTCCCCATTTCTTGGTATTTATTTTCCTCTCATCTTTCTTTTTCCATATACTTCTCTCTCCATTTTCACCTCTGATCCTTGGCAGATGTTTCAGTTTACGTTTTCTCTGCTGTGTCTTATACTTCCTCTCTTTCCATTTCTGTTTCTCTCATTTCACTTTGATCTTCTATCTGTCAACATTATTTCAGTTTTGTCTCCCTGCGCAATTCTATCTTTCAGGCTCCCCTGTCTCTCCATATCAAAAACTCCCCTCTTGGACTGTGACCACAGTACTAGGGACCCCTAACTGGCCAACTCTGTAAGGAACATCTCTCACCTGAATCTGATATGGCTTAGGTTATTTCTGAGTTTCTCTTAATAGTTCTATGAAATTAATTAAAAATAATCCCCTTATCTCAACCTGGGAGGGTAGGGAGGGTAGGATTTTTATGTTCCCTTAGAAGATGGAATCCATTCATGTAATTTGTCATGTATTATTCTCTGTCTACCTTTCCCATTTTCTCTTTTTATATTTTCCACCAATGGAGACTCCATCTATTCAAGAGATCAGATCTCCTTTTTCATTGGTTCTCTCACACCTGCTGGCAGATAAGGGCAGGTACATGCCTGTGTGAGGGGAAGAGTACTGGGAGATAACAGGGGGCTAAGATAGGAGAGAAAATACAAGCTTTGCCTCCATGAAGACAAGGAAGCAAAGCTTTAATAAGGGCATTGATCAGTTAAATGATAGTTACCTTGTTTACCATATGGTAGTAATCTGGGTCTGTCTTCTAACTCGTTTGCATTATTCATTTGGAGAGGTGGGTGTTCATAGCATACTGAGGAAAACAATGTGAAAATTACCAAACTCAGACAGCAACCAGAGGAGAGACCTCAGTGTGCTTAAGCTGAATTTGATGTCCAAGCCCCAGGATCTCCTGCCCCCGAGGTCCAACAGAGCCTTGTTCCCCTTTTTTTAATTGAGATGCACATATCTTAAGTGTAAATCATTGTGAAACCAACATCCCAGTCAAGATTCAGAACATTTCCACCATCCCAGAAAATTGCTTCGTGCTTAAGACACCACTGTTCTGGTTCCTATCACCAGCAATGGCTCCTTCCTTTCTGGCACTGTACTTGTCTGTATTGTCTGTACTTATACTCATATAAATAGGATCATGCAGTATGTACTCTTAGAACTTGCTTATTTTGCTCAATATGATGTTTTTGAGATTTATCTATGTTGCTCTGTGTGATAACAGTTCATTCTTTTTATTGCTGAATAGTATTATACTCTATAAATTAGTCATAGTTTATCTACTCTCCTGTTGATGAGCATTTGGGTTGGTTCCAGATTTTAGTTATTATGAATAAAGCTGCCATAAACATTCTTATACAAATCTTTGGATGAACATATTTTTATTTCTGTCATGTAAATATCTAGGAGTGAAATGGCCAAGATCATAGGTTAGATTTAACTTTACAGGAAATTGCCAGGCACTTTCCCAAAGTGTTCGCTATCATTTTACATTCCTACCAGCAAGGGATGGGCGGTCCAATTGTTCCACATTCTCATCTGTGCTTGGTATTGTCAGTCTTTTTAATTTTAGCAATTCTAGTGAGTGGATGATATCTCACTATGACTTTAATTTGCATTTCCCTCATGATTAATAATGTCATACACTTTATGTTCTTGCTGGACATTTTGTATCTCCTGTTCTGAAATGTCTGTTCAAATCGCTTGTCCATTTTTTGAATTGGTGATGTGTCCTTTTATCATTCATTTATTGGAGTTATTCATATTTTGTGAGTACAATCCTTTGTTAGATATGTGTATTGGAAATATTTTCTCCCAGTCTATGGTTTGTTTTTTCCTTTTCTTAATGGTGACTTTGGATGCGTAGTTTTTAATTTGGTGACACATAACTTACCAAGTTTTTCTTTTATGATCCATGTTTTTTTGTGTCCTTTATAGCAAATTACTGCCTACTCTCAGTTTGCAAAGACACAGTCTCATGTTTTCTTCTAGAAGCTTTATACTTGTAGTGTTAACTTGTAGATTTGTAATCCAACTTGAATTATGTTTTGTGGATGTTGTGTAGTATAAGCAGAGGTTTATTTTTCTTTTTTTTTTTCAATCTTTTTACAATTCATTCTACTTTTGCCCATTTCTCCAATTTCTACTCATAGTCTGAGGCAGTGGGCAGTGGTGAGCCTCAGGTGCCTGTCACCTGGAAGGTGCCAGATACTAACATATGAGATGTGGATACTGGGGCCAGGGGGATCCCCACAGTCCACAGAGAGAATCAGAGCCCCTGAGATGTGGGCAGTAGAAGTAACATCATTCCCTTCATTGCCACAGCCTGGAACACCCTGGTTAAAATACAAATATTGACTCAAAATTTGTGCCTACGTACAGTTGGCTTGGGATCCATGGATTCACCCAACCTCAGATTGAAAATATGGGAAAAAATTAAAAATAATAAAAGGCCAGGCATGGTGGCTCATGTCTATAATCCCAGCATTTGGGGAAGCCAAGGCAGGCAGATCACCTGAGGTCAGGGTTTCAAGACCAGCCTTGCCAACATGGTGAAACCCTGTCTCTACCAAAAATACAAAAAAATTAGCCAGGTGTGGTGGTGGGTGACTGTAATCCCAGCTACTCAGAAGGCTGAGGCAGGAAAATCACTTGAACCCAGGAGATGGGGGTTGCAGTAGCCAAGATCACACCACTGCACTCCAGCCTGGGTGATAGAGTGAACTCCGTCTCAAAAAATAAATAAATAAAATAACAATACAAATTTAATAACTATTTACATAGCATTTAGATTGTATTAGGTATTGTAATCTAGAGATGATTTAAAGTATACTGGTGCATGTGCATAGGCTATACACAAATACTATGCCATTTCATATAAGGGACTTGAGCATCCAGGACTGAGGGTGGTGGGTATTCCTGAAACCAATCCCTCATGGATACCAAAGGAGGCATGCACAGTATTTGATTTCCTCTAGACCTTTCTCTGACTTGGATGTACCATAATATGAAAACGAGATACCTCTTTTTTGAATCAAGGTATAGTATTCACAAATCAACACATCCCATTCTTCATACTGACTTATTTTACTTTTCCCCTGTTTAAATGCCCGTTATTGCTTCGTTATTTTCCAAAAACTAAACTCCAGATTCCCTAGCACAGGGTGTCAAGCCCTCCAGAATCCACTCCAAGTTCTTTCTCCAGAATCGGCTCCCAAACCTTCCCTCCCACACTCTGCAATTCAACCACAAGGTTCTGAAAGGCCCCCACCAACCCCCTTTTCTGTCTTCAGAGTTTTCATATGCAGCTCCTCCTCAGTGTACCAGTATGTACTGGGCTCTCTTCGTGACTTCTCCAGTCTTCGTTTGGAGAAATGAGTTGACACAGGACTGCACTGAATGATAAATTTTCTAATACAAAGAAAATTGTTTTATCTTTGAATGTATCTGCAAATATCAGAGAAGGTTTCCTCCTTTCCTATGAAAAGGCTTCACTCATGTCTTCCTTGAAAAAAATGGAGACTTCAACCCTATGTTTTACAGCATCAAAATCAAGTCCTGGCTGAGCAACCATTTGCAGGATTACTTGGTTAACATCTATCACTCCCACTATATGTAAACTCCATAAGGACATGGAACATGTGTGTTTTTTCATCATTATATTCCCCCTGGGCTTGGCATGTAATAGTCACTCAGTCAAACATTTGTCAAATATGAATGAAGAGTGAATGAATGAATTAATGAATGAAATGGGCTTGAATCCCCCAAAGCTGTTGAGAGCTATAGTTACCATTTTGGAAGCTTCTATAAATCTCGTTTAAATCAGGATAGGCCATCAGGTTAATCCTGCTGAACAATGTTTCCAGATGTGACCAGCCAAACGTCTTCTCCAGTTCACTGAGTACACAATACATCACTCTTGTCACTGGGACCAGGTTTCTAAAAGCTTCTTGAAAATGCTTAAAAATATTAAATGGAGAATTATGTAGTTAGAGATTTATGGGTTCCAAAAGACTCTTAGGTGGTAGATAGAACATCTGTTCTCTTGTGAAATGCTAGAATTTTGCATATATTTGGATGACTTCTTAAATGTCCTCCACCATAAAAATACAGTCTTAATTTTTTGAACCTGACTCTCTGACATTGTTGTACACTTAAGAGGAGAGAGTTATTTTAAATAATAAATGTGGGTTCAAAGTTGAATGTTATGTGTGGCTTTAGAGCCTGGCCAGGTTATTTCAGGAGTGGCCTTAACAAGGCTGTTCTGTTATGTGGATGATAACCACTACTAGGATTGGCCTGGCCTGACAGAGCTCCAGGAAACCAATCAACCAGCCCCCTACTGTGACTCCTGATCAAAGGGCACAGAAAATTCACAAAGACAAGAAGAAGGCTTGTCCTCAGTATCCCTAAAGGCATCCACTGCTAACATTAACTTGCATTCTAGGGCTCTAGAAATGTCCAAAGATCAAACAATGATTTAGAGAGACAGTAGCAAGCATCTGCTTCCAAATGTAAAATAACATGACACAACTTCCCTGTGAGTTTCAAAAAAATCTGTCTCAAGTGTTTCAATAAGTAGGCTTTGCAATGAAACGCTGCCTAGCTCACTTATTTACTTTAATTATGGCTACCATTAGTAGATTGCATACATGCACCTAGGATGATCTGCACCCATGCAGCATTCCCATTCTCTCTGCTGCCCACCTCCCTCACTGTGGCCCTCCCCCAACATTTACTACAGAAGAAGGGAGGTTTTCTGTGATGCCTGCTTCTCCTGTCACCTCCTAACCTACAGGATGATGAAGGTCCCCATTCACAGGAGGCCCTTTAGCCTGTTCATTGCATCTTGAAGTTTGGCATAATTGAGTATGGACCTGGTTTACCATCATTTGGAAATTCTTACTTACTTCATACATCTGCTCAGAGATGAAGGAGCGGTCTCGGAGGCCCATAAGGAAAGGAAATGGTCTTGTTATTGCACTTGCAATCTCTACCTTGTGTTCTCTGAAGAACCTGAAAATGGGCTCAGGGCAAACCTGCTCCTGCAGGTTCTGATCCTCTGTGTTCTGTGTATCTGTGACCATTCTAAGAAACAAAGATACAACGTGGAAATAGATACTGAGTTTCCAAGAGGTTTGTGGTGGCTAGAAGATTTTAGACATGAAGGATGGCCAATGGAGAGCCAACATGTGTAAAATAGGCTTTCTTGTGGGGAAATCAGAATGAATGAAATTTATTTATTTTGGGAAAAATCAAGGTGGAAAAGATGAAAACAGTGAACTTATTAAAGACTTAAATGTTAGATCTAAAACCATAAAAATCCTAGAAGAAAACCTAAGCAATACCATTCAGGACATGGGCATGGGCAAGGACTTCATGTCGAAAACACCAAAAGCAATGGCAACAAAAGCCAAAATTGACAAATGGGATCTAATTAATCTAAAGAGCTTCTGCACAGCAAAAGAAACTACCATCAGAGTGAACAGGCAACCTACAGAATGGGAGAACATTTTTGCAATCTACTCATCTGACAAAGGGCTAATATCCAGAACCTACAAAGAACCCAAACAAATTTACAAGAAAAAAGCAAACAATCCCATCAAAAAGTGGGCAAAGGATGTGAACAGACACTTCTCAAAATAAGGCATTTATGCAGTCAACAGACACATGAAAAAATGCTCATCATCACTGACCATCAGAGAAATACAAATCAAAACCACAATGAGATACCATTTCATACCAGTTAGAATGACGATCATTAAAAAGTCAGGAAACAACAGGTGCTGGAGAGGATGTGGAGAAACAGGAACACTTTTACACTGTTGGTGGGACTGTAAACTAGTTCAACCATTGTGGAAGACAGTGTGGCGATTCCTCAAGGATCTAGAACTAGAAATACCATTTGACCCAGCCATCACATTACTGGGTATATACCCAAATAATTATAAATCATGCTGCTATAAAGACACATGTACACGTGTGTTTATTGCGGCACTATTCACAATAGCAAAGACTTGGAACCAACCCAAATGTCCATCAATGACAGACTGGATTAAGAAAATGTGGCACATATACACCATGGAATACTATGCAGCCATAAAAATGGATGAGTTCATGTTCTTTGTGGGGACATGGATATAGCTGGAAACCATCATTCTCAGCAAACTATTGCAGGGACAGAAAACCAAACACTGCATGTTCTCACTCATAGGTGGGAATTGAGCAATGAGAACGCTTGGACACAGGAAGGGGAACATCACACGCTGGGGCCTGTTGTAGGGTGGGAGGAGGGGGGAGGGTTAGCATTAGGAGATATACCTAATGTAAATGACGAGTTAATGGGTGCAGCACACCAACATGGCACATGTATACATATGTAATAAACCTGCATGTTGTGCACATGTACCCTAGAACTTAAAGTATAATTAAAAAAAAAAAAGGACCTGTGCATAGAAGTAAAAAGGCTCGCCCTGTTCCAATCAAACTATTATAAAGAGACCTTCACCTGAACTCTCTAGGGAAAATACACAATTAAAAGATGTCAAAATCTTTATAGGAATTGACATGATGCTGCGGTAATTAATTTTATATGCCAACTTGGACGGTTTTTTTGGAAAAGATTAACATTTAAATTAGTGAATTTGGAGTAGGGCAGATTGCCTTCCATCGTGTGGGTGGGGCTTGTCCAACCAATTGAAAGCCTAAATAGAACCAAAAGACCAGTGTCCCCAAGAAAGTAAGAATCCTCTAGTAGACTGCATTCAGACTGGAGCTGCACCATCAGCTCTCCTGGGTCTCCAACCAGCAGGCCCACACTACAGATTTTGGACTTGTCAGCCTTCGTAACTGCAAGAGCCAATTCCTTATAACAAATCTCTTTCTCTCTATATACACATCCTACTGGTTCTGTTTCTCTGGAGAACTTTAACTTACAGAGAAAGAAATAAAAATCTGGCTGAGATATTACAGAACTCAACACTGAACTGCAAGTCTTCTTAGTTAACAACAAAGAGAGGAAATCTCAGGAGTCATAAAGGAGATGTATCTCCTCCATCTGTAACTGTAGAGGGAGGGTGGTATTCTCCATCACAAAATTGGTTCAAAGACTCTCATCTGGTAAGGTTTGATTAAGAATAGTCACAATAAGGCTGGGCGCGTAGCTCACGCCTGTAATTCTAGCACTTTGGGAGGCCGAGGCAGGCGGATCATGAGGTCAGGAGATGGAGACCATCCTGGCTAACACGGTGAAACCCCGTCTCTACTAAAAATACATAAAATTAGCCCGGCGTGGTGGCGGGCGCCTGTAATCCCAGCTACTCGGGAGGCTGAGCCAGGAGACTGGTGTGAACCCAGGAGGCGGAGCTTGCAGTGAGCCGAGATCGCGCCACTGCACTCCAGCCTGGGCGACAGAGTGAGACTCCGTCTCAAAAAAAAAAAAAAAAAAAAAAAAGAATAGTCACAAGAAAATGACTCTTTCTCTGGTCCAACATGGAGATTTGTGTGAATATGCAAAACTAGGACACACTGATCTGTCTACACTTGGAGACCTGGGAAACTAATTTTTACTCACAAAAGTTTGTAGTTCTGATTCTTACTTGCTAAATTGTTCTCCTTGCTAATAGGCCTTAACATATTTATCTGCATTTTTAAACGGTATGAAGACTTACAGAATTTTTTTTATCCCACAATGAAAGAGTCATTGGGACTTTCCATTCCTCAAACATGCATCAGGATAGAATAGAGGATCACTAAGATTTCCCATTCCCCAAACATGCACCATTTATCCGCCGAATTCTGTTAAAAAAGAAAAAGACTTCTGGTTTAAAATGGTTGATTAATGACAACTGTTTTTCTCCTCTCTCACTAGAATGTCTCCTAAAATGATAGGAAAGGAATTAAAGTCACAATGATGAAGAGAAAGGAATTAGATGAGAAATTTTAACCTAAATATGACAGAGAAAAAACGGTCAGAGGGGTACTCATTGCTATTGAAGGGGGAGGATGGTTCCTGAGGTCAGAAAAGGATCCAGCATGTCCTGCAGCCTCCCAGAGATGCAGTGGTGGCTGAAAAGGAGATGCAGAGATGAAAATCAAGAGATTGTTCCAGAGGCGAAATTAAAAACGGTTTGCTCTACGACACGGAACACCCACAATCAGGCAGAAGAGTGGAGGTTTCTTCTTAAGAAAAATATAAATGACTCAGAGAGAAGGACTTCAGGCATTTGGTATTTGCTCAGTGAAGCCCACAAACTTACAAGCCCATCTCATTAAATGGAGTTTCAAGTTTGCTTTTCAGCATCTTGCTGGTAAGCATGAACAGACTACAACAGACCACAGCATGTGTGGAAACCTACAACATTAAGGAGTAAACCAAGATAAGCAAAAGGCAAAGAAGTACCCTAGCAGAAATAGGGATGTTTCAGGGAACAAAAGAGAATTTCTAAACAACAAATATTATCATACAAAAAGAGAATATATTGTACCAAAAATTCCATGCAGAAAAGAAACAACCAGAAAATAAAACAGAGACCTTGGAAATTCAAAATTTCCCAGAACAAATGGGGAAAAGCCCTAAAGGGAAAAATAGATAAATTTGAAAAGCTAAATGTCTAAAATAATGATGCGAGCCTATAAGCCTAGAGGTAAGAGGAAACTACTAAAAAAAAAAAAAAAAAAAAAAAAAAACAGTGTATACCCATCCAATTCTTGAGAATGGGTCCAAAAAAATTAAAATGGAAAGATGTATACCTTGTTCAATGATTCGTGTATGAGGGCAGAATCAATACTTAGACAGACAAGGACTCAAAAAATATTTTGCTCATGCACCTTCTGTGTTGGTCACACATTTTTCAATGTTCTTTTCTTCTGGGCCAAGGTAAGATTGTACCTCCTTTGGAGCAATGGGAATCACTCCAGCAGAAGAGCTCAGAGCCAGCACCTGGTTAGGCACGCTCTCTGTTCCTCTACCACAGTGACTGTCATTTCAGATGGGGTGGCTGCTCCTCAGCCAGAGACAGAGTCCAGGATGAGGGTCCTCTGAGCAGAGGCCTGGTGACCCGTTGAGATTTGGGAGTTGTTTGTTCCTATAGAGCACCCTACTCCATTTTTACTGACACTGTGTGGGACAAATTATTTGATGAAGTACTACAATTAACAGAATCAAGAAATCAGTATCCATAAAGTATTGTTGTAAAGGAACTGAAAGCATCACTAAAAACCAGTTAAAATCCTGATGTCTCAAATTTATAAATTATCTTAGAACAGTAATTCTCAAAGTGGGGTTTAGAGACTCCCTAGGATTGTGCAAGACCCTTTCAGGTGTCACCAAGGTAAAACTGTTCTCATAATAACATATTATTTTCCCTTTTTCTTTCTCATTCTTTCATGAACATACAATGAAATTTTTCAGAGGCTAAATGTCCTGTGATGTCACAACAGATTGAACGCAGAAGCAGATAGGAGAGTCTAGCTGCCTTCTACTGATATTTAAAAGATGCATAAAAATGTAAAGCAATGCTAATCCTCTGGCTAATTTATTTCTATTTTGAAAAGTTCTATTATTTTTCGTAAAAATACATCACTTATATTCACGGGTAATAAATTCACTACTATTATTTCTAAATGAATAAATACATATTTTAAGTGTTCAAAGTTTTAATTTCTAATATGGTAAATAGCAACAGATATAACCCAATAAACAAAAGCCAATTCTTCGGGGTTCTCGATAACTTTTAAAAATACAAAAATATCCTGAATCCAAATATTTGAGAAGGACTGTTCTAAAAAGACAGGATATATACTGAATATAATAAAATTATAGCAATTTCAATCTTAAGCTTTAGATTCTATTTTAAAGTTTTTTTTGTTGTTTCGTTTTGAGACGGAATCTCGCTCTGTGGCTGCATGTAGGCTGGAGTGCAGTGGTGCGATACTTGGTAAAGTTTTTTTTAATTGAGTGAGGACAAGTAAAAAATTGAGTTAAATAACTTATTTCAAATAAAAATTCAAATGATACAGTTATAAATTTGATGCTCTCAGAGAAATATACATTAAAGAATTAATTAGAAACCCAAGTGTAACGAATA